CAGGCTGACGCTCCCAATCAGACCAAAAGGTGTAGGATTATATGTTCAGAGAAGAAATATAAGTCCCCTCCAGTTATACAGGGAATTGGCACTGAGGCAGTCCCTGGCCTGTTGTGAAAGGAAACGGTCACAGACTACTCAGGGGAAAGAAGACACATTGTGATGCAGAAAAGGGGAAAGAATTTGACCTTTCCAGAAAACCTGAAAAGTTATTAGAAAACTATATGCAGAAACATTGTAACTGAAACCAAAATACTTAGTCAATCATCTCTCACTGATAAGAACCAAGAATTTGTGAAAATAAGAGGCTACCACACCATCTTGTCTGTCAACTGAAATATATACTGTTATTCCAACAACGTTTACCTCAGCCTTTCCAGGTCCTGACTACCCCATACCATCCCTACCTATTAAACAAAATCTTTATTATTGTTCACCGTTACACAGTCTCCAGTGTCTTTCCAAGGGATCTAAAAAGAGGGTGCCTGTTTTCTCCTGACAAGTTCCTGGGCTGGGCAAAAGCCAAATCAGATTCTGTCAAAGGGTGGGACATTCAGATTTATAAAGCTGCAAATATCATCATGCTAGTGGGGGGCAGCTCAGTACCTGAAGGGAACTAAGAATTTTGGCAGGAAAAATCTGCCACAGAGTGTGGAGTGTAACAGGGGTCCATCATAGTGACAATCAGAAGTCCGACAGGTGCAGTGATGAGAAAAGCTTCACCAGCTGAATTTCCTCCTTTTCCTCCTAGCTACCAGGAGCCCTAACCTCCCCCTAAACACTGACAAGGAAAAATCTGCCACAGAGTGTGGAGTGTAACAGGGGTCCATCATAGTGACAATCAGAAGTCCGACAGGTGCAGTGATGAGAAAAGCTTCACCAGCTGAATTTCCTCCTTTTCCTCCTAGCTACCAGGAGCCCTAACCTCCCCCCAAACACTGACAACTGTCCTGTGTCCACAGCCTACAAATATAAGTGACCATATCCTAGGGCTAAGAAAGTCTGTGAATAATGAAGTTTAAGCTGCTCTCTCCTGGTATCCCAGCAGTGAAATGAATATGACTCTACTAGCCTACCTTACAGGGTTGTCGTAGCTGAAGTAATGGAACTCATCAACACCCTCTAAGTGCTAAATAAGATTCCATTGCAATAGGAGACCAGAAGAATTCTGTGCAGGAGGCAGAATTTCAACAGGTGCAGTTCTTTGTGCAGGGGTGAGAAACGTTTGTTTGGCCTTTTAACCAAAAGATTCCCTCAGGGTGGGCTGAAAAGAATAAATTAAACATGGCAACAGAAATGATTTAAAATAAAAAGGGGCATTATGAGCAAACCCCTTCTACACAAAAACGTATCGGAACCTTTCTGCTAGCTTCTTTTCTGATTATCCATCATGCAGAATTCTGTCGATGGGCTTCAGGGAAAAGCAGTCAGCATGTTTATACTGGAAGAGACTGAGTGGAACCTGTGGAACCCGAAAGCTTGCCAGCCTAACACAGCATAACAACAATCAGAGGTTTACCTTTCTTTAGGTCTGACAGTCAAACATACAAACCAGAAAGAGAGAGAAAGGCTGTTCAAGTACTAAACAATTTTTAAAATGTATAGCCATGTGCCAAAAAAAATATATCTTCCTCCAATGTTTGCAACACCAAAGAAGAAGAATCATGAGTAGGTTGCTCCTTAAAGAAACCATCCCCTGCTCTAGTATAACATTTTCCTTCTCTTGGAATTTTCCTACAGTTTATCCAAAGATGCAGCAACAATTTACTTTGTAAAAAGCACAAGACAGAAACATGGTCAGAACAAGGGGAGGGGAGGGGGGGAAGGAAGGAAGGGACATGTTTACTGAGTTTACTTCCAGGTACTGTGCACGTGTCTCTGGGAGGAGTAAAAGCGAAAGTGTTTTGTGGAACTTTAAACACCAACGTATTTATTGTGTCACAGCCTTCCCTGGACCAGTCCTTTCCTTTCGTGTGTGGCGCCCACAAGATTTCCTGCCCCGAAAAATCTGCTAGTCTTTAACGTGCCACAAGCCTCCTTTCTTATTTTTGATCCAACCGGCTAACTCTACCCCCGTTTCCTTGGGCGTAAATTCAACTGAATTTAGTAGATGTTATTCCCAAGTGGGAGAAAACTACAGGGCCTCCTCGGATCGCTCGATCTCTCTGCCGCAACTTATTTAAATTTGCATTTTAGGAACATAAAGAGGAACGAATCGGTATGTACGAGAAGGCCACGGAGGGTCGTTTGGCTGTAAAGGAGCTTCAGCTTTCGACGTCGTTGCTGCCTCCGGGGCGCAGCGCTCTGGCGACGCAAAAGAGCAGGGCGAGGAGCCGCGTTCCTTTGCGGGGAGAAATGTGTCATTCCGTGTTTAGAAAACCCGCGCGCTGCTTGCATTTTGAGCATTCATTCATTCATTCATTCAATGGGCTGCGGTCACACACACTAAACAATCCACTTGCAATGCGCTTTCCAACTGGATTTTTACTGGGGATGATCTGGCAAAATCCAGTTGGAAAGTGGATTGAAAGTGGATTATTTAGTGTGCCTGACCTCAGCCATTCATTCATTCATTCACACTCTCTCACACACACGCGCGCGCATCTTCACGGTAGTCTACTCAGTCGACGAGACCCCTGCTGCTGGATCGGGTCGAGGTCGACTGGAGGCCACTCGAAGCTCACGAGCAGGGCACGAGGCTCCGCTCCAGGCATCTGCTATGGAAAGATAGACTGCCGCTGAACGCGGAGGTTCCACTGAACTGTCCTTGCTAATAGCGAGGGACTTTGTCTTTAAAGCCAATCGAAGCTGGGGGAGGGGTCCAACAGATTATTCTTTCCATACTTAAAAAGTATCTCCCTTTCCGTCGTTCTCCTTCCTTTTAGCGAGCCAGCGTGGGGTTGAGGTTAAAGGGTTGGACTAGGATCCCGGAAACCCAGGTTCGAATCCCCTCACGTCATGAAAGCGCGTTGGGTGATCTTGGGCCAATCACACTCTCAGACTAACCTACCTCACGGGGTTGCTGCGAGGATAAAATGGAGGAGAGTGATGGGAACTCCTTTGTTAATCTGGTTCTTTCCCTTTCTCATTTCGGCTTTCGTTCCTTTTTCTTATTTCTTTCCCTTTTTGCCTCTTTCCTTTTCTTTCTCCCCTCTTGCATCTTTTCTACTTTTTCGTCTTCCTTCCCTCCCGTATTTCTTTCTGGT